AAAAAAAAAAAAAAAAAAAAAAAAAAAAAAAAAAAAAAATCGGCCGTTTTGGAATTTTTTTTTCCTTTAGAAATCTAACTTCAAATTCGTTTTTCTCCTATCAATACACCCGTAGATACCGATTTTCGCGCAAATCCATTGACAAACAGACGGTGTCAATTTTCGGCCATCTTGAATTTTGACCGAACGCCATTTTGAAACGGTTTGAGATATGGACTTCTGGTTTACCCGAAAAGTTTCCTTTTTGGATGCTCTTTCGAACAAGGTACAACAAAGGGGGTCTTCTCAATTGAAAAAACAATTGGTTTCCGTCCCCCCTCCCCCCTAAGGGTTTAAAAATTTAGAGGCGATAGAAAGGGCTTATGGATTACCCTTTATATCGCACGAATTTCGCCATATATATTGTGAAGTCGATTTCTTATATATTGACACATTTCTTATATATTGCACGATTTTCGCCATATATTTTGGAGTCGATTTCCTAAATATTGTCACATTTCTCATATATTGCGACAGTTCCGTATATATATTTCAAAATTTCATATATATCTTGAATATTTCATATATTATATCATTTCTTATATATTTCCAACATTCGTATCTTTAGTTACAAACAGCCCTTCATAAGATGCTAACGCTTGATTCTGAGGTTGTTTGACGAACGTTATTTAGTTTGCCAAACAACGCGCATCACATCTAAAAAATGCAATTTCACAACCGGACGACGACGTCCAGCTCCCTTATAATTGGATTACACTTTGCAATAAGGAACCACTATCTCTGGCTCTTCTATAATAAAAAAGCACCTTTCTGCATAGGGAAACAAATCGCAAATATGTTGTTTCTAAAATGAGCCAAAAATAGTGGTTCCTTATTGCAAAATGTAATCTAATTGTCCGTAAAGCAGCGTTGAGTCCCCGATAGTAAATGCTTTCAGCTGTCGCCAAGAGGACGTAGAGGTGAAGAGGCCTTTTGTCTATGGTTGAACCATTAAGTTCAATTTAATGACGTAGTCACTACATCCATCTATTTTATGAGAAATGGACCGAATTCATCAGAAAGGAACCAACCCACATGAAGCTGAAACTGAGAAAAAGAGGTTTGAAGTTTCATTCCTCAATAAGACTCAATGTAGGAAATTAACTTCAACCTCTCTTTTCACAGACTGATGTTTTTTTTTACTTTGAATTATTTGCAGAAGAAAATATACAACCAGAGGAATTCAAAAACATTTTTAACTCAATTTTTTCGAAAATGTGGGTTAGATCCTTTCTGATGAACTCGGTCCAAATGATCGATACCAAAATATTCATAAACAACATTTACTTCGCAATTCTCTTCCCGATTAAAAAAATCAAAATTTGATTTCAGGTGATCGAAGACCACACCACAGTCACGACCAACTACGATGACCCGATCTTCACCCGGATCACCAACGGGAACGCTGACAAGAAAACCCTCTTGGAATTCGTTCCTCTCCTTTGCGGTTGCGTCGCCAACGACACTGACCCTATCCTTATCATTGACGCCTACGACACTCCCCTCACCTCCGCCTACGCCGCCGCCTACTACTCCAAAATGGCCGAATTCATAGCCAAGTTCTTCGAGGAAATCTTCAACGACGGCTACTACCGGTTCAGTAAGATGCTCATCACGGGCGTATCGACGGTGGAGTTTGAGTTTGTCCACCTGCGCAAGGAGGGCACGGAAGCCAAACCCCACCACTACAACCCGCTCGCTCGGTTCTTTGGGTTCACGGAGGAGGAAGTGGTTGCGCTGTTGGCGCGAAACGGGAAGAGTAAAGACAACCAACGCACCCTGGTGGAGAATTTCGGTGGCTATGGTTTTCGCGATTTCAATGGGAGAATGCTCAATCCTAGTGGCGTCATTGGGTAATGAATCATTTCAGTTTTAATTTGGTACGACACGTAAGGCTGCAGTAAGGCTAAAGTTTGAAATCAGAAAAATGTCCCAGCGCTAACCTTTTTTTTGAAAAATTTACTAAAACCGACCGATTTCGTCCGATAGGAATGCCAAATACTCCGGCACAAGGAGGTGAACTTTTTTCCTGGCCCATTCACATTCCTCATTTTTTGCGATGCAAAATATGACGATGTTGCAGTATATTTTCCAGATTGATCGAGGTAAAAAAGGATCAGAGAGCCTCTCGAATCCAAAACATCAGCGGGCAATGGCCCAATGGCGCGGCATTTTTACTTTGCAAGGCAGCACGTGACGATAGTAATAAGGTGAAAATACTCAACGGTTATCAAACCAATGTCAAACTGCTTTGAAGGGCAAAATTATCATGAAGAGAATCCCTTTCCTCCCCCAGGTCACTGATCTCATGTTATAATTTCAGGTTCTTCGACAAGTCCGCATGCACTCCAGGAGTTAGCATAAACCCTGCATCAACAACAATCTTGAAAGACTTACTTAAAATCAGAAAAGACGGATTTCTCGTATACCCAATGCTGTCCCTTCAAAAACTCCTGGCGAACGAATCATTCTCAAGACGTGTCATCGAACGACTAGACTACTCCAGCCTATGCGAAAGCTCTCCTCATTTCACCAACTTCCTGATGAGCTTTGGACTCGCCACCAAGGAAATGGACCCAGCACCTGATATCAGCGAAATTTGCCCCAAGCCTCGAGATCCGAACAAGGTCCAGCTTAAAATTCCCAACTTAACCGTCCGTAAAATACTGGCGCCCATTCTGACGGAAGTTCCGGAGGCCCTCAACTACACTAGTTTGACGAACAGTTTGATCGATGGAGATTTTGAAAGAGCACTGATTATGTTCCGAACCTTCATGAAAAACGCTAGTTCGTTTGTTATAATAGGGGATAAAGAGAGTAATAAAAAAGCGCGCGTTAGAAAGCCAGTACTTTGTGATTATGCGCGTGATTTATTACAAGGGGTTTTGATCAAGTATAATACTGATATTATGACTCTTCATTTGCCTGGGTTTGACTATATTGAACTGGAGCCCAGCAAAGGCTACACGTATAGGATTAGGGTTAGAATAGAGAAGACTAATATGGTGAAGGCCGCGTGGATAAGGGTGCGGAATAAGGTTTACTCCATGGTAAGGACGGTGCCGAAAAAAAGGGCAGAGATTTTCATCCAGTATGGGAAGTCTTTTGTTGACGTTTTTTTAAGACCGATGCAATCTGAGTATAGGCTATCCCTTGATGATGACCCTTGGCTCATGTATTGAAAATATGGATTAGGCTGCCTTTTTTAGGAATGTCTTTGATTTATTAAAAGTAGTGCTGTAGACTCTTCATGATTAACCTGAATTTTAAAAATATACGCTGGTGAAACTAAATATTTAAAAGAAAAAAAGAAGAAAAACAGGGTTGGCGTTAAATTTGAAATAACTAAACGCAAAATAAGATTGAGCAAGGGCTGACATTCTAATGAGAATTCTACGGAAGATTTAGAGCGCATTGGTAAAAAGACACAAAGTAATTATTATAGAAAATTTATGTCCGTTGTAGACACGAGTACAATCCGATGTATTCGTTATTTTTTTATGATGATAGTAATCAATTGTTGAAACGTTAATTTATAGGGAATAAAACTTTGTCGAAAATGTATTATTTTTCATTCTTTATTGAAAACATGAGTGTGTTACATGGATTTAAAATTGTAAATGTTTTGGCTCACTTTTTGAATGAAGTCTCGGAAAAGTATTCAAAATCAAAAACTAGACCCACATCGAGAGAGAAAACAGAGGATTTATTCAAAAAAGAAAAAAAAAAGGAATTTATACATAAATTTGGACCAAAATAATACGGCACATATTTGCCAATTAGGCAAGCATGCTTCAAACAGCTCATCGATGAATGATGATAACATCTCTCCTCGATTGATTAAAACATTACATCACTAAAACACATGGTTTTTTCATGACCACAGAGTCATCATTCTCATCGGTTGTTATGAAGTTTTCTGATCGAAAAACCTCGAATCAGTTAATAATTTTCTCGTAAATATCTTAAATAATTAAAAAAGGCAAAAATAAAATAATGCGTTTATAAAGTTGTGAGTGTATCATTTATTTTGCAAATATAAGCCTATTTTTTCTGTGATGAGTTGCGTGTTCCCCAGTTATTAAATTCGAAAAATTCCATCGTTTTCACTTGTAAAATTGACCACATTTCCTTAACTCAGGATAGAACTATCTTTTTGGTCGATTAAGCTTAAAAGTTACGAAAGTTCCAAGTTCCAAGTTCGCAAGGCCAAAACTTTTCTGGACTTCAACTAATGTAAACAAATCGAGCTCATAATAATTTGAAGGAATCAATAGTTCTGGCGTTTATTTTCGATTTATGAAATTCTTAATATTCTAACATTTCACCTGTGAAATTCATACGTTTCCTACAGTGCGAATAGAACTATTTTTACGGACGGTTAAGTAACGGAGTTATGAAAGCTCAAAGTTCACACCCTTTCCTTGGGGCCATAACCTCTCTATAATTATTGTCAAAACCCTTTTCAATAAAAATTATATGAGATCAATCCACTCGTCAAAAAATTCCAATCGTTATGGAAAGAACTATTTCCGTTAGCATATTATCAATATTCCACGTTTTCTCCCTTCAAGACCCCATCGAGTCCGCAGTAACACGAACGTCAGCAAACATCACAAATGGTGCATCACAAATCACCGACTTCAAGGAGTTCATAGACTACCACCGCGAGCTGTACGTGGACAAGACTCTCTTCCTGCCTGACTTCATATTTCGCGAAGAAAAATACATGGGTCCGATAATATTCGTCACAAAACCGCCGGGGTTCGGAAAATCCCTCTTGGCGTCAACTGTCGATTACTTTTTCAACTCCAAGTATGACGTCAGCCAGACGAGACGTATCTTCGCGGGCTTTCACGTCATGATCGACACCCCGGAGGTGAAGAAGTTCAGGAAGGACTACATGAACCGCTTTCCGGTTATCAAAATCAGTTTTGCCTCTTTCCAAGCCACTGATTATGATGGTGCGCTCGAAGAGGTTGAACGAATCTTTAGAGAGGTGAGAATATTCAAGTATACGCTATGCACGTGACTGACAGAGAGTTGAATGGCTTTGTTAAATATTTGGTGAATGCATGATTGTTTCAAAATTTCATAAAATCACATTATAAATTTGACAATAAAGAATGATAATGAGAATGTTTAATCTTCAAGTTCAGGCAGGGGCGTAGACAGTTCTTCGCCCTCACAATTTTCGATGCAGCCTTCGCATTTTTTGAGGCCGCCTTCATATTACTGTCCACGTTACACTTGCGCGCTTAACTGTTTTCTTGCACTGGAAAAAAAGAAAAAAACACATTGGATCTAGAGTCCAGACTCTTCAAAACATCGACAAGAGAGAATACTCTTGATTCAATCAGATTTTTGCTTAAATCAAAAGGAAATTCGCTCAAATTAAGAGGCTTGGTTCTTGATCTGAGCAAAAATCCGATTGAATCAAGAGTATTTTTTCTTGTCGATGTTTTTAAGAGTCTGGACTCTAGATCCAATGTGTTTTTTTTTCCAGTGTGATATTTTTTACCCCAAGCCTAAAACATTGACACATTGCACATATTTTCGTTAGTTTTAGAGGTTAGGTTGGGCTTTCCTCTCTAGACACCCCTCCGTGCTCCTCTTAGCGTACAGCACCTCAGTACTGCCGTGCTAAGGGAAAACGCCGTATGAACCTTCAGGCGTTGCCAAATTTCCTTTGGTAAATCATGAATTTTCGATAAAATTTGTAAAAAAAAAACAATTTCAGAAAATTTTCAATTTTACAGAAAATTTTGTGCGCAATTTTAAGTACAGTTCTGGAAAATTTCTCGGAAAAATATTCATACCTTCCCTCGAAAATAAACATTTTATCTAAGGAAATTTGGCAACTCTCGAGTGTTCATACGGCGTTTTTTCTTAGCACGGGAGTAGTCCGGTACTTTTAACCTTTCAAATTCAAAACAGTCTACCCTTTCCGATTCCAGGTCATCGAGGACCACGCCGATGTCGCAGCCCAAGTCAAGGACCCGACTCTGGACCGCATCTCCAACGGGACCGCCGACAAAGAGTGCCTCTACGAGTTCGTCCAACTCCTCTGCGGCTACGTCACCGACCACCACACCGAGGACCCCATCCTCATCGTCGACGCCTACGACACCCCCCTCTACTCCACCTACGCCGCCAAATACTTTCACAAGATGGCCAATCTAATGTCTTACTTCTTCGAGGGCATCTTCAACGACGGGTTCCATCGGTTCAGGAAGGCACTCATCACTGGTGTCGCCACGGCGAAACTGGAGAGGGTGCGGATCAGGAAGGAGGTCACCAGGGCCAAGGTCGATGATCATGACCCTTTGGCGGAGTACTTCGGGTTTAGTAAGGAAGAGGTCATCACGCTGATGGCGAGGAATGGGCGGCATCGTGGGAACCAGGGCACCTACCGCACTCTGGTGAGGAGTTTTGGCGGCTATGGCTTTCGCGATTTCAATGTGACTATGTTCAATCCCAGCGGTGTGGTCAGGTAAGATTTCATCGTTGTTCAAAGTTGCGATTAAAAATTTGGCTTACATTGGAAAAATTTGGCTATACACGGTGCCCAATGCAGACCACCTGGATTGCATTTTGCAAAAAGGAACCACTAGCATTGCAATGTTGCTAAGATTGTGCAACTTCTTTTGTCTTAGAGGAAAACCCCGATTATCCATTAATAGTTTCTATTTTACTCGCTAAAAACTGTAAATTTAAGACAAAAATTACCATCTAAATTTCATAGTTTTTCACGGTTTCCGCAATTTTATTGCAAAAGATGAAGTTGCACAATCTTAGCATCATTGCAATGCTAGTGGTTAATTTCCTTTTTGCAAAATGCAATCCACCTGTGCCATGTGTTTTGCTCAGTTACATGAGGTCGTAAGAGGTCTAGATTGAAAGGTTGTTCAGGAAGTCGACCCAAAATCGAATTTCATCGCTTTAAAGCCTGGGGGATGAACAAGGATGGAGGTCATGATCTTATCAGGCGAGATTTCCAACCGAATTGATTCTGTGACAATTAAAACGTAATCAAATGTTTAACTTGAACTGACGTCTGAGATTTTTAAATCAACCCCCACTAGACAAGAAACGGCCCCTTAACTAAAAATAAGGGCGGTGCTTCTCTTCACAAAATGCCCTTTGGGTTAAAAATGGACGTAGATTCTTCGAAAAAAGAAAGAGCCGTCAGTATGCAATCCCAAGCAATCCGAGTTTCTACCTCAACTTTCTAGGTGGTATTTAGGGAGTCATTGTAGCGAAAATTCGAGATTCTCGGTAATAATTTTGAATTTTTTTCATAAAAATACAAAATCACAGGAATACTTATGCTGATTCGGTCCCAAAACGAGCAAATCAACAGATCTTTGTTTACTACAATGAAAAAAGAAGTCACGGGCTACATAGATATACCGTCCGTTCCGGGCTCAGAAGCCGAAAGTTAGACGGGTGCTGGAGCCGTAGCTTTGATTGCTCCGGAAGCTAAGCCTGAAACTTGCGGCTTCTAAGCCTGGAACGCGGACGGTATGCATATGTAGCCCGTAAGAACGGCTTTCACGGCCAGAGTGTTTTTTTAGTGTATTTGAGTTCGTAAAGAATGGATGGGGTTGGGAGTCTAATCTACCTCACAAGTGATGTTGTCCAGCAGAATTTACACCCAATAACTATGATTTCAGGTATTTTGACAAGGGCACTCTAGACGGCGGCGTGGATACAGCAACAACGACGATCCTAAAAGACCTACTGACGCCCAAAAAATACGGACTCTACCCCGTCCTAGCCGTCCAGAAACTCCTCGCGTACGAGGAAGTTCTGGAAGGCATCCCTGCAATGCTGCTATACCCCGACATCCGCGAAAGTTCAACCCAGTACTGGACCTTCCTGTTAAACTTCGGTCTTGCAACCGTCGACTTGCAAGCACGCTCTCATCCGGAGAAAATCACGCTGAAACTGCCAAACTTAACCGTCCGAACGCTACTGACGCGCACTCTGGCGGAGATTCCAGAAATTCCCGATTACAACAATCTAACCGAGAGTTTGGTCCAAGGAGACTACGAAACGGTGCAAATCGCGTTCAAGACATACTTAGAACAAGCTGGTTACTACGTGATGAGGGAGGACAAGTACAGCGAGAGGTTTGTGCGTTTCAAACGTCTGCGGCTCTCGGACTACGTGATAGAACTTTTGGGAAAGTTGAAGTTGAGTTATAACACAAATGAAGTGACTGTTCATAATCCAGGGGTGGACTATATCGAACTGGTGCCCAATGCCAACGTTCGCGGTGAAAGGTATAAATATACAATTAGGGTCAGGATTGAAAAGACTAAGATGCTTAGAGCGGCGTGGAATAGAATGAGAAATAAGATTTGTACTATGGTGAGGACGATACAGAAAAATGAGACGGAGATATTTGTTCAGTATGGGAAATCTTTCGTCGACGTTTGTTTGAGGCGCTATCTACCGGAGATGAAGGTAACGACTCGGAGGTATGTGCAAGCTGATTGGGAATGAGCCATCGCAAACTAAATGGACAACATTTGGACGTATTTCCGCCGAACGGAACTATGTGCACATAGAAAACTTAGAGTCGTAATGTAAATGGGAGAGCTGGCGCTATGTTCTGCTCGACGAGTTCCTAGCCCGGTGTGCGTCGAGCTCGGGTCACTTTTCCGATACATATTCAATCCAAAATGGCGGTGTGGAATACGTGGTAATTCCTATCTTTTTTGTTTACATCGGATGGCCGGGTACCCGTGTATCGCAAACAATCAATCATGTATCGAAAAAGTGACCCGACGTCAAACAGGAGTCTCGTAGTTCGGGACCTGGAAAATGCTTAAAAATGGCGTCAGCTCTCCCACATTACATTTCGACTCTATGTATGTGCATTAAGACATGAGCCCTGAAGCCTATAAGAATATAAGCATAATAGGGCTCACGTCATAATGCACATAGTTCCGTTTGGCAGAAATACGTCCATTTTGCAATGAGGAACTACAACTTCTGGCCTGGCTCATTTTGAGGACAGAATGTTGTCACCTCCCGGCCAAAGCATCACAAACGTCATTCGACATTTCAAAATTTTCGCCACCATTTTATTATTTTACAGAGAATTGTTGGTTGAATCTGTTAGAAAATTTTACTGAAATTTATCGGCAGCACAAGGAAAATTCAATGAAATTTTCGCAGGGCTTCGTTGAACAATTTCTCTGTAAAAAATAAAATGGCGGCGGAAACGCTTAAACGTCGCATGGCGCTTGTAATACTTTGGCCGGAAGGTGATGATGTGTGTGCCGGTGTAACATAATTTCCGTGTGTAGATAGGTGATTTTATGACTGAGCCATAAATGGTTCCTCATTGCAAAATGTAGACGGATAATTCGAATGGGCCAACTCCAGTCAGTCCAAATGAACTAAATTTTGCAATGAGGAATTATTATGTCTGGTTAATTTTAGAAACAACGTGTGTGCCGCTTGGTTCCCCTATGCAAATAGGTGCTTTTGTGGTATTGTAAAATTTAGTCCGCGTGATCTTTCAAAATTCGCATTGTAAAAATTATTTATCAGCAGCACGTGTATTTGAAAGTATAGGATAAAGTTTGAAAAAGTCAATCCTTTCAACACTCAGCAAAATGTGCGCAGGTAATCCAGAAAAGGGATATTTACGTTTTAACCATAAATAAGGTAAACTTAATTGTAATCATGTGCCAACTGAAGTATTATACGCGTAATTCTGTAGTTTAATTAGTTTATAGGGAGAGGAGTCCTTAAAAATCTAGTTTCACTTGAGAAAGAAAAATGAGTACTTAATATTGTGTGATGATTTGATCTCTACTTGGCCAAGATCTGGCGCGTGATCTACCATTTTATTTATTTCTATTTAAACTTGATTTTCTAATGATATCTAAAGCAAGTTCAAGTTGTAATTCTGTTTTTTAATTAGTTTATGGCGAGAGAAATCCTTTAAAAAAACTAGTTTCACCTGTAAAGGAAAAGTGTGTGATACTTTGATCTCTGGTTGGAAAAGATCTGGTGCGTGCTGTGCTTTATACCATTTTATTTATTTCTATTCAAACTTGATTTTTCTTATAATACATACATCTAAAGCAAGTTCAATTTGTAAATAGTTTGTAATTTTAGATAAGGTTAAGATATGATTTTTCTGACAAATAAACATATTACTTTTGATATATCTATTTGTTCTTAAGTGGTGCATCCATTTGTTAATGTCCCGATGGCCTGCAAGAGTTCGAAATTGTTAAAACATTCTTCCTATCGCGTTACGTGTCTGCCGAGCAAGGACCCCTAAAACGAGTAAGTTGGACGAATTGAAAGTCAACAAAAGATTAAGCTCCAGAGTGAAAACCTTTCTTCCGGATCCGAGGGAAATTTCAGGACAATATCCGCTATCAGAATATCAGATCAGCGAGGTCTTAGAAAACAAAGAATTTATTCGAAAAGCGTAAAAAACCACCAAGGGGAGACTTGGAAAAAGGGATGCGGTTATACCCAGCTTATCCTAGATAGAAGAACGAGTGATGTTTTTGAGTGAAGGAGCAAATTATTCATGAGAGTAATATAAACGTTCAAAAGTTGGACTTGAAGTTTAAAACACCAAGATTATGGATGCGCCTTTTCGCACATCGTCCTTAGAGGGACAAAGGAAAGAGCGAGTTAATAAAAATACAACTTACAGAATTTCTAGACTCTTCAAGCCGCGAAACGCATGCCTGTCGATGCATTTTAAGACGTTGTTATCCAATTGCCTGAAAAAATTAAATGAAAAGAAAAATTAGTAACATTGTGAGGCTTAGCAAGCGTACAGAGTGTATTGGCATAAACAAAAATACCGATTACTATACAGTAGCAGAGCAGATTTATATTCCTCGGATAAGAAAGGAGGTGGAGAGACTACATAATTTAATTTTACAATGATATAATGAGGAGAATAAAACAGCTGCATGTGTCGAAAATCGTGCTTTTATGAATGAATCATACGGATTAACGAGTAAGTAATGAGATTACTTCCCAAACATTCAATACGGTCTATATTAACAGTTATCGCTGTTTAAAAAAACACGGTGGTTGATATCACCCTTTCTGCATACCGACATACTGGGAAATATTTTGCCTTTACAGCATCAGTCTGAGACAAATGAATTAGTTACAAAGTATTATGATTCATTTTTAATAGAATTGGTTTGAGAAGCTATGATATCCACTAATGGAAAAAATTATTTTCACGCAAGCCACTCCCATTGTAAATCGTATTAGACGATGCAATTTGGCGTTTGTACTAAAATATTTCATACTTCCTGTTATTTATAATGTTCAAATGTCTCATACGATTCTGTTACCTATGCGCAACTACGTAACACATAGTTCTTTACGGACACTCACGACCAATCCTGAGTACGCAGATTCTCCCTAACCTTTTCTTATCGAATTAAGAGAATAAAATGCACGGATATTCACGCATAATTCACCATTGAAACTCTCCGAATGCGGGAGTAAATTACTACGGACACTCAATAATTACTCTTTTGCTACCCTTTTTTGGTGTGTACCCTGATCCTGTGTTGTTTTTAAAAACTACAGAAACTAAACACTGCCAATAGGAACAACGCAATACGCTTTAAGAATGTATTTCAAGTTTTCAACGAGATTTTTGTGTCCTTTATCTTAATTGTCTACTCAACCAAGTAGCTGCAGGTATTTTTTGTGAATTGTGGGGAACAGACAAATTCTGTATTTAGCTTATCTGACTCGTCATTAAAAATTAGAAAAATTATAACTGACAGCATGAGCTAGTCAAAGACGACACGTTTGCAGACAAAATGTCTAAGCTTGTTAAATCATGATCGGGGCAGGGGGGGGGGAAGCGCCACGGGGTGTCCGGGCCCCCGTGGGGTCCACACAGACTCCGAGGAAGGTAAGTCCATTCTTTATCTCGATTCACCGGCCAGATACGTGAAGTTACGAGCTGTTAAAAAAACGTACGAGGCAGGGAATAGATTTAAACGACGTGAAAAGTCAGGTTCCATGGTAATTTGTTGATAAATTTACTTTTGTTGGCCCCTTCTTCCACCCGTGCCCTCATAGCCCCGTTCTCTCCTCTGCGTACGACTGGTAAGATATTTATATTGATGAACAGGCAGTTGCAGTGTTCTCTTGTGCGGTATTCAATGAGGAAAGGAAAGGACTCTGGTAAATCGGTTGGCAAGGTTTCTAGAGGTGTAGAAGGCAAAATTATGGTCAGAAAATACCTTAAATATCTAATTACTAAGGGCTGAGACGGATAAAAATAAGAATATACCTCGTGCGTAGACAATTATTTTAGATTTACTTCAGACCGTAGCGGCAAACTTTTAAAAACTACGGGCTGATGAGAAAAACAATTAAAATGTATGACTCGTATTTTGACACAAATGCAGTGCACTGTCAGAAATCTCGGAGTACAACATCCGGAGTGAATATCAGGTACTTCGTAGCTAATTTTGCTCTTGAACAACCGGAATCAACGTATAAGAGTATAAGTCTGAAATAGTAGAGCGAAATTTGTTCTTTACAGAAAAAAGCGCACGGGGTTATTCGATGACATGGACATTTCCAATTAATTTTGATAGTATCCCAATTAATTGTGGTAGCTGACAAGAAAAAGTACTCTTGATTCAATCAGAATCTAGCTTAAATCAAGAATCAAGCCTCTTAATTTAAGCGGATTTCGTTTTGATTCAAGCAAAAATCCGATTGAATCAAGAGTATTTTTTCTTGTCGATGTTTCTAAGAGTCTGGACTCTAGATCCAATGTGTTTTTTTCCCAGTGATCGATATATCGCAAAGCACACCACGCTACTATTGATATGTATTGAAATGTTAATATATCACACTGATGTTAAAATCAACATCGGAGTGAATGTTTCGAGACCCATCAAGACAACACACAACACCGATGACAGCATAAAAATGTCCCCGCACGATTGAATTAATTTAAATAAAATTTAATTAATGGCGGCGGGCTAATCGGCCATTAAATTGGCCGGAATGACAACAGCCAGCGGCCGCGGCGGCGACGGAATAATTAAAACGAAAACATTTGATTAATACCGGCTGCAACCGCAGCGCGGAGGGGTCGAGTGAAGAGGGATGCGATTAAAAATCAGGATCGCGGACTTAAGCGTCCGGAAATGATTAATACAACCCTCCGGTGAGGTGAAGACAGTGGTTGCCCCGGGGCTGTGAGGGATGCGCCGCGCCGGCCAGGATGCCCACCGCAGGGACCGGAGATGCATCCGTATTCCGCAGTTGCCGCGACTTGGGTCGGAATCTATTGCACTTGAGGCGTGATATAGGCTAAGCACCCTGCAGGCTGTTCGTTGAAATCGATAGACAAAGCTACAGACTAAGACAGAAAAAGTTGGTGACGTAGCAAACGTGCGTTAAAAATTAGCATAAAGCTGACGATCTTAATACAGAGGGGAAAAGCTCATAAGAGCACGGTTTTCCCTTGAAGATATGTGCTGTTTGGTGCAACACCCCAAGTAGCATTTCTCAACGGAAAAATCGCTGTATATTGCGATTTTATCGGCGATAAAATCACCAGGATCATCAACATCTGAGCGATTATCCTAGATCTTATCACGATAAAATCGCGCTTTTATCGCCCGACAATTTATCGCGATATTTTCTAAATAAAAATGGCGATTTAATCTCGATTTCATCGACAAAAATATCGATTTGTAGCGATTTAATCGCCATATATCGCGGTTTTTAATGCGATAATATCTCGATATATTGCCACCGATAAAACGCGATAACCAACCGATTAAATCGCTATTTATCGCGATCACTGCTACTTGGGACTATAGTTTCGTCTATTCTTTGTACAACACAAGAAGACAAAAGGAATCTATGAGCGCAATTTTCCCTCAAAGAGATGTGCTTTTTGCTGCAAAACACTAGTTTCGTCCATTCATTGTAAAGAAAAAGAAGACAAAATGAATACAGAGGGATCCTATTGGTGAAAGCGGGTGGTTGCAATAGACAAAGGAAGTAGGTGATAGACTAACTAACGGCACCCACGAAAGACCCTAAATTTATAACATAATTTTCTCTCTTAGTCCATAGGAACCACCCAATTCAACCAATAGCATTTTTTTAGCAGTTTGCCTTTTATCCCGAGTGGAATCTAGAGTACCTATGTAGGGAGAGTGCGGAAATTTCGCTAATTTTGAGGTTAGATCATAGAGCTTTCAGGCCCAAAAGGGCACCCAACCTATGAATTCAATCGTTCCGACCCGTCGTTTGACTTAGTTTTCGCATACATTTACTCTTTTTGCAGAGGATCGCTCATTTATGAACATTTTCAGCCATCCTGGTTTGACATCGGAATCTGAGGATTGTCAGTGACATTTTTTGTGTTAGAGGGTTGACTGCTCTTTTGGGCCCTGAAAGCTCCATATTCCAACACGTCTGTACTCTCCCTACATGGGTGCTGTGATAAAACATGAACTTCAAGGGAAAACTGGATGAGGCTTCGTTTACGGAAAAAAGAGAAGAAGAACTAATTTAGACTTCTACTTAACTGGATGATAAATAGGGTGATAGAATTATCCTTGAACCAGCTGTCATTTTTTACCACGCATATAAGATGAGTAGAGGAGATGGCAACAGAGAGGTCAAGCTATGTATGGCTGTGGCGATCCCCTTTCCATGCCCCTGTATCGGCTGCAACCAGCAACCCTTCGACATTTCTTGTCCCCCGTACTCGCACGGTCGCACCCCCGCATTCTGCGTCGCGGCTACGCGCGCAGAGCCAATTATCAATCAATTCTGCTGGAGACGTCAAATTAACATGTATTCTAGTATACACAGATGGCGCTGATGCCAGGTGGTTCGCTTGGTGGAAAAAGAAAATCGAGTGCGTTCACCAAGTAAATATTGGAGCCCCGATGAGGTGCGGTATCAGCAGATCGACTTCACCTACCTTTATTCTCCAAGACTGAGGTCTTATTAGAATAAAGACTTTTAATTTCCTCCCCAATTTGAGCGACATCTCATTGGCAGCAATGCAGAATAGAGCGGAGAATTCTGAGTTCACGCCTCGCGCCATGGCGCCTTCAATTTTGCAGATACAGCACGGCCAACCATCGAGTACGAATGGTTGTATCTCTGCGCCGTCATCAACGGGCGACTTTTTCCTTGCTGGTTCCGTTTGCCTTATGTGTATTTGCCTTATCCTATGATGTGTGCAAATCAATTATTATGAAAAAAAAAGAAAAAAAAGAAAAAGAAAAGTGGTACCTTGCAAGTTTAGAGGTCTTTCAAGCGCCCTAAAGGATAACGCGTTACAAGGTTACGAGATTCTGAGTGCGAACGAATCACTTAATTTAGTGGTTGACTTGGTTTAAAATTCATGCGATGGAAACTGATAAAATGTGGTAGATCATTGTTATCAGAGTTCATACTACATACTATAACCATACTTTAACCATTATAGTCTTAACTATAACCATACTATAATTACTATATACCATATTATTACTATAACCATATTAGTCCGGTCATAAGGGCTGTAAGTAAGTGCGGCATTCTATACGAGCCGAACTATTATTCAGTTTATGTAATCTTACTCTTGGTCCTAGAAACCATATCCTCGATTCATACAACCGAGCTTTTTCTGCGGTTTAGTTTCTTGCATTTCTGAGTTACTTTTTCTTGTTTTTAATGAGCGGAGCGAGTTCGACGCAGCATTTACTGTTGGATA